GTACAAACTATATTAACATTTTAATTGTCATTTTTTGGTATCTGAGCTAATGTCCTGATAACATACCTGGTGCAAAGTGAATCTGAACTATTTTTTTCAGAGAACTTTGCCTCTCTGCAGGTCCTCTTGGGATGTGACTGTATAAGCAAGGTACAAAGTGTACTGATGTTTGCCAAATCTGTACACATTTTGGATCTGAAACTAGCACCTCAATATCTTTTTTATACGTATACTTCCAGTGAATGTCAGGGTAGCTTTCTTGCTATCTGGCATATCACCTGGATGATTACGGGCAGCCTGTTTTCTCTAGTCAAAGACTTCAACTCCCCAGAAAAATAGATGTACACAAAAGAGCTTGTAGGCAGTTCAGAATTGAAGCTGATCAAAAATTATGTTCTTAGTCTTACCTAACATGAACTTCAGTGAATGCAAGCAGGCTATGTTTCCTTGACTTAGAATGGACTTTATGAGGCAAAGTCTGAAACGTTACATTTAAAAATCTCCTTCTAAATGTACATTATTCTAGAAATGCATTATTCTAAAAATGTAAATTATTCTAGAAAAACTAAAACCATTATCTGTTTTGACTTCTTCCTAACAAATTTTAATTGCTTTTAAAAAGCTCCTTTTTCATTCAATCTTTATCCTAAAAAAAAAAAAAAAAAGCCATTCTCCAAATGAAAAAATTCGAGAAATGTTTCCAAAAATAAAACAAATAACTAAATAAACATCACTCTGGTCTCAATCCATGGTTAATGGATCTGCTGCTCTAGCTTTTTACAGGAACCTCACCCAGTAATTTCTGCATCAAAGTCATAACTTCAAGCTGAACTCTTAATAGCCTTTGCATGCCAATCCACATTAAAGGTTGCAGATAGGACACCTAGGTATGGTCTTTGACTTCATTATGAGTATTAAAGACCTCTTTGGCAGATCTGTTGCCTGAAGCCTAATGCTGATGAATTGTTTGTAATTGTATTCTTAATCTCCGAACTACAGAGAAAGAAGCAGTACTGAGACCTTTCAAATGATGACCTTTGAGCTGATGAAATACCCCATTGAGGTGCATTTCTTTGGCTCTGTCCTGTGTCCCTTACACTGCACCTGGGCTCTTACACAGCATGTATAATGGCTGTCCTGGTTGCTGTGAGGAGAAGCAGGATTTGTAGCTTGGTTTGACCTTAGATACCAGGTGTTGACCTCCAACAGTACCCTGAGCCAGGGGAGAAGAACAGATTCTGTACCACCATTATCTATCCGTTGGAGCACAGGAGCATCATAGTTTTGTCTAGACTGCACATACATTTTCATTATAAGGACAAAGGAGGGGAGGGAATTTTTTCCTTTACAAGAAACAGAACTCAAGTGGTAAGTGGGTAAGGAAAGTCCACAAGCTGGTTTTGCATTAGGCTGCTCCTCTGTAGCAAGGGACTTTGTTACACATCTGCAATCTATAGGGAGGGGGTGAGGGAGGTAAAAACAAGAAAAAAAACTTTATTTGGAAAGTTTGATGCTGGCAATAGCTTTCAAATGTCCAGGTAATGTTTTGGAGAACTAACCTGCCTTCTGAGAAAAGCTACCTTATCAAAGTGAAAAAAACCATATTATTGTTTCTTAACCTCAGATGGCCTTTGGAAAAGAAATGTTTTGAAACCCTTAGAGCACAGACATGGGAAAAATGTGTGTGTTTGTGTATGTTTGCTTAGCTTATTAGGCTTGGTCTTCAATATACAAGAGAATGTATCCACCAAATATTTTTCTTCTTCTTTCTTTTTTTCCTTGCTTATCCTTCCCAAGTTTTCACTACCATATTCCCACTCAAAGGGAGTTCTGAAGCCAAAATCAGCCTATGGGGCTTTTTCTTTTTTTTTTTTTTCCATGAATCAGCACCTGAAACCAGGTCAACCTTCATGCAGATGGCTGTATCCTTGTAAATCATGGGACTTTTAGCCTCTACCTCTTGGCATTAGTCTGAGAAGATGGAGGGAGACAGATTGTTCCCTGCCCAAACAGACAGAAAGAGAGGAAAACCTGTTAAAGACAAATGCGGAAAGTGTGCTCCCCCATCAGACTTTGATGGTTTTAAAATCCTGAACTGGATCCTTCAGGGAAAGGGAAGTTATTTAATCCCATTCAGTTTATTGGGGTAGGCAATCATTTGCTCCCACATGGCCCATTTGCCATGTTTCAAGCAAGAACGGAGGTCTGCCCAGAGATACCTAAGCAGGAGACAAGAAAGGCATGTCAGTCTGTAGAAGCCACAGTACCCAAAGGGATGATGTAGTCCCAGCCCTGCAAACTGGTCTCCCCATTACACCTGAGCCAAGGTGTTGCTTATATTGAGATTTTGATGCATAGGTTCCATCTGATTCTCAGTCAGCAGCCAGAACATATACTTGTTATCCCTGTCTTTTTTGTATATGCAACACTGTTTGGACTGGATGCCTTGAGCCAGTTACCCACACCATAGTTCAGACTACTGTGCTCTGTGGAAGGATGGGGAGGAAGCTTTATCTTTTTGCATAATAGCCTGATGGGCAAACTCTTACTCAGAAAGGGAAGGGTCCCTCAGCATGAGCATGAGAATCATGTCCTCAAGGAAGATTGAAGCTAAATCAGTGGACATCTGTGGTCACTTGAAATGTTCCACAGTGTATGTTTTTTGTGAGCAATTTGGTTTCAGTGGCCCTGTTCACTGCTACAAATTCCTTGGGTTTGGGGGGGATCTCTCTGTAGGGCATGTTTGTGTTGCTGTGCAGGCATGTGAAACAAGCTGAAGCTGGTTCAGTAGAGTATGCTGGCTGCTGCTCAGGAGTGTGCTGTGGCTCTCAGTGCACAGGCAGTTTTGATGACCTGCCACTGCATGCTGACATTTGTGGTTGTTATTGTCATTCTCACCAGGAAGTGACAGATTTTTATGTAAGGTACCAGGTCATTAAGTAACTCTGCCTTGGTTCAGTACCTTCATTTGTATGCTGTAGTGGTTGGATACTGTTACAGGGAAAAGGTTTCTTATGAATTAATGACATTGAAAAAGAGCCTTATAAAGGAACTGTAATACATTGTATGTTTTCTCTTTCTTTTTAAGTCTGTGTCCTGCTGATCCTTTAACACTTTGGGTTTTTCTCAAGCTATATAGTTTATATAGGACTATAGTAGTTTATATATCTGTGTAGTTTCCATAGAACTATAAACTTGAAATGGTCATATCTGCACATAATTACTCTATTTAAATAGTCAAAATAATTACAAGGCTTCTCTTCATGAATCATGTCTTTCCATATAAGAATTTTGGCTGTAGAAATCAAAAGGTAGTAACAGAAGTTATTCTGCTTCTTTTTTGGGAATATCAATGATATTTTTTTAAGAGTTTGTGTAAAAGGAAAAGCCTGCCATTTTTAAAACACATATCAAGCTCTGGGTTAATCAAGCTGGGCACTTCTTGCATCTGGTTGCTGATGTGAGAGTAGCAACAGTTTTGAGCAAGTTCAGACTGAGGAAGAGTGTTTGGAGATGAAACAGGAGGTGTCGTGGAATTTTTAGTCTGACGTGGAAAAAGCTAACCTTAAGGAAGGTTTTAATGAGGGCAAACATCCAGCTCTGCAATTGGTAGTACTAGTGTAACATTTCATCTTGTGCTAATGGCCTCTTTGGGTAGAGGCATTGTCACTGCTCCTTTTCATTCAATGGTAACCTCAATTTACACCCTAGCTAACCTGCAGCTTCTCAGAATGTGCAAGTAAACGGTGCTTGTTTGCTGATAAATGTCAGGGGAAAGACAGTCACTGCGTCCAGCCTCTAACAAAGGTTATGGCAAAATGTTCTAAAAAACAGGAAAGAAGTTTTTGCATTTAAAATCGTACTGGTTTTGCAACATAAGTGAGCGGAATACTGACACGATACAAACTGTAAGTAAAGTTTATCTGAGCAATTCCTGATTGAAATGGTGTAGGTGTGTCTAATGTTTACTTACCTATTTTTTTCCCTTCTTGAAAATTTGCAACATTCAGAGGAACATAATAAGTTTTTCAGCTTTTTGTTGGATTAGAGAGTAGGTCCTGTTTGTATCTCATACACTTTTATTCACAGTTGAGTGAAATTTTTCATGTTAAACTTTCTTTCAGTATTAATTCAGACTTAAAGCTTTAAAACTTTTCATGTGTATAAATGAGTATAGCTTTTGTAGTACACATATGATGTATTTAGTCATAACCTGTTGCTTCAAATAAAAGCAATATTTAAGATGTTTCATGGGTCTTCATGTCCATCAAGCTCATGGTTGAAATGATTTCCTCTCAAGGTCATGAAGATCTTGTATTTAGTATTTATAATATTTGTATTCAAGTCTTAGTTAACACTATGTTAAATGCTTAAAGAGAAGATCCTTTCATGTGGGCATCTTCATTGCCATTTCTGTCCTTTGCTGGAGCTCTGCAGATGTATTTCATGTTCATGAGCATCTGAAACATGTCTGAGTTTTACTTTTTTTTCTACCAAGTAGGAAAAGATTTGATCCTTTTGCTTGGATCAAATCCATTATTTCATTTCCCTTGAGCTGCTCTTTCAAATGCAGAAGCGTAATGTTTAATTTCAGGTAAAAACTTTTTTAAGCAGAACAGATTTTGCAATTCATAAAATAGTTTTTGTTAAACATATGTTTTGTAAAAATATTTCTGGCATGATGGAACTGCTGGTCTGTTACTAAAATGTGGTATTTTGGAAACAGTGACATTTCCACATGGTCTCTTACATAGGCTCTGTATTTGTAATCTGTTGCTGCTTTTATAAATGGTATGCCTGGCACAGGAGGGTGAGTTCACACATCCTTTTCTGTTCATGCACACTGGCCTGTGAACTATAAATGGAACAAAAGGATGAACTTCAATGGGCACTTGCCACTCTGCAAGATAAATAAGTGTTGATGAGTTAGAACTTTATTGATATGCCTGAAGTAGTTTAAATAAAGACTGTATGACGTATTTTTTTCTTGCTATTTTTAGAAGTCCAGCTCCAGTAAGACCTGAAACTACACCATCAACTGGCCCTACAGAAAAGCAGGAGGTTAAAGCTCCTCGTGTGAGGAAGTTAACGAGGCAGTACAGTTTGTGAGTAACTATCTTTGTGGTTTTGCCTACTACAGCTGAAAATGAAAGGGGATGCTAATTATTGCTCTAGCTATGGCTTCTGAAAGGCATGAGTGCAATTACATGATAATGATCTTATACCAATACCATTCCTTTCATCACTGAGAATCTTCAAGCTTTTAATACAAAATGACTTTGCCTTCCGTTCACCTTTGCAGACCGTTCACCTTTTCCTGAGCTTATAGCTTAGGAGTTAAAAGCCTTTTTACCACATGAAATGTCAAAGACCTGGTGTGAGCTGGAGCAAGCTGCTCTGTCGGCTTCATTACAACCCCATTTGCAAAATAAGGAAAACAACCCTTAGTTGTTGAGTGAACAAGCAGTGCTGTCAACCGTTCCCTCTCAGAAAGTGCACCCTCTCTCTCTGTGATTTGTCACTTGCAGAAATTGCTGAGCCTGCTACAGCTACAGCCAGCAAAGCTAAGTCTCTTAGTCCTGGCAAGAGTGATCTAAAGGGCTTTGGCTTCCCATTTAGACATAGTTCATCCAATTTGAGAGTCTCTAGAGATGTGAGGTACTGAACAGAAGTGGAAATCAGTTTGTTGAATTGTCCTTCTGTGTAAAGACAGACAAGGCCACCAGAAATTAGGGGGGAAAGGGGATAATGTCAGCATAAACTTATTAGTACAAGAATACCAATGCCTCAATAAAGAAAAAATATGTATGCTTTCTATATGGAAGGGCAACTGTTAGTCCCTCCAGCAATATAACATTCTAATGTCAGTGGATATATAGCAACGTTAGCAAAAGTTTTCATTCTGTCCAGAAGGATTCTAACAAATATTTATATGTAGTTATTTTCTGTCCCACTGTTAAGAACACTGGCTTTTTAACAATGTGCATCGCCAAAACTGAAAAATTATTTAGGAGAAGAAACGGAAGAATGAATCAAATTGAAACTAGGAGGATAATGAGCTATTAACCAAATTGATGTTTGTCCAGGAGACTGACTGACATGTAGGAACACACAATGAATTTTTAATGAGTTTTTGAGGAACCAGTTTTAAACATGTCTTGCTCCCATGCAGATTTTCGGTTGTCCAGTGTTAGATATGAGGAACAGCACATAAATACATCTAGCCACAGGTATCACCTAGACTGTGGCCATGTGTAGGGTAGAAGACTCCCTAGTTAAAAATTCAGGCTATGTTTTTTTTCTTTTTGTAGACCCAAATTCTATTCAATTTAAATTATCTTGTGTCTGCAATGCAAATACGGGAAATGCAAAGAAATAGCAAAGGAGTATTGTGAAAGTAGTACAGCGAAGGCCAATTCTCAGTTTACAGTAATGTGCTAATAGCTTGATGACTGATGAGTTGACCCTAACCCTTAATTTACCGCTTGCTTGTATACACCAGAGCAGCTTTACCCAGGAAGGATGGGGAGTGTGCCAGTGTATTCCTGCTGAGAGTGGGGAGCAAGGACTGAGGAAATGTCAGCTACATGTTTCTGAAAGAGAGATTAACTAGGTCAACAGCCCAACTCTGGGCTTGTTACATTAAAAAAATGTCTATTCAACAGGTCCAAAAGATTTTGCATTTTCTTTCCATTATAAAACCTGTGTACTGTGCATGCTCTGGTGCTGAATTCTATCCTTACCCAGAAGAAATAAAAAATGAGGCTTGGAAAAGATAACATTAATCATCAAAACTTTATATCATAATAAAAAACATTGCTAAATAACCCACCATGAGGTTGTGTAACCTGTATGTCATGCAGTTTTGAAGTTTTTTGTTTTGTCCAGGCATGCTGCCTTCAAGTAGCACTAAATCAAATACAGTTTAGTTCTGGAATTGTTTGTCAAGCTGGTATAGCAGGCTTCTGTGCACCGTGACTACCTAATTGGTAGTTAAAATTGGTGCTGTTTTATGAGCAGAAGTAATATTTCTCATTATTTCTTTCCATGCATTAAACTGTCAAGATGCAGTCTTTTCACACATCATCCCAAGTAATAAGGCTCCTGTAGACCAAATTATGACTCTGTTTACCTCAATGCAATTACAATTAACAATTGGACACATCCTGACTCGGGGCTGACTGATCCCAGTGATTTGTAGTCAATGAGGCTCTGCAAAAGTAAATGAGGCTATAACATTCTTTACTGGCTTTCATTTAGTAGTGACAGTAGGTGACATGGAAAGAGTTCAGCTTGATGGCCTGAAGCCCAGGAGAAGCAGGCAACCTCATCTTAAATAAAATGTTTTCTCTGTAAATGGACTAAATGGGACAGGAAAAAAGAAACCCTCACAAGAATGTTTCTGAAGAGATCCTTTTTGGAGTCAATCAAAGTCCTTTAAAAACAGTTTGAAAATAGTAACACAGACTAGCTGCATAATGAGTGTCAAAGCTAGTGTTACCTGAAGCCAATGAAGCAGTCCCTTGGATGGATCTCACCAGATCTTTCTGATCAATGCTGCCAGCCTCCATAGAAGAGAATAAACACTGAAGTGGAGTAATATTTAATCAGTTCATTTATGCATATATACATAATCCATAGAAATGCTATTTGCACATAATAACCATAAGATTTCATTTACAGATGAGAGGTACCTAGCTAATCCATTTTTGAGGAATCTTTAAAGCTTGAAAAAAATCTAATTTACTTGAAAAGGTAGCTGCATTACAGAGGGAAGAGTAAATGGAACTTTGCTTCAAAGCATTACAGCAGACGTACAGGTTACCAGTGCCTCTTCTGACACAAGCACGGTCAAAGTTCAGTGACATTTTCTAATGAGAAGATCTGTCTGCTTTTATCAACTGCAGTGATGAAGATGACCTTCCTCCAGCACTGGCAGCAGCAGCAGCAGCATCAACACCTGTATCTTCAGCATCTCCTGGGTCACAGAAAACATGTACACCACAGACGTCAGAAGGACAAACACAGGTTTCGCCTGGTGGCAAGGTAATATGCAAAGAGATGAACTTATGTCAGCTGTGAGAATGTTCAGGAAAGGTAGGAGGGAGTTGTGGCAACAGGTTTTCCTTAGATGGAATAATGCTACATTTAGGAGTAGTTTTAAATGCAGAGTTGTAGTAATATGTTTATCCTGTTGTGTAAGGAAATATTTAGAGCCTGATCCAAGACTCAACTAAAATCAACAATAGTTTTTCATCAACAGTAGCGGGCAGTGGATCACAATTAATTACTTTGATTTAAAAGATTCATAATTTTGTTGTCTATCTTTGCTGAGTAGTGAAATTTGAAATGCATTTGGCAATCTGTGCTTTAAGGAATTAAAAAAAACCCCAAAACCCAACAACAAAAAACAACCAACAAAATTACATTTTTTTTTTCTTTTTCAATGCTGGGTTTCTTTTTTGCCTTTAGAGTTCCACAGATGCTGGAAGTACATTTGCTTTGGAGCCAGGTGACCTCCTGATGGATTTCACAGAGGCCACACCAATGGTAAATAGTTTTGGTTTGCAACCAGGCCAGTGTAAAAGTTTTCAGTAATTTGTCTGCAGCTAAAATGAATGGGATACTATGCAGTGTGTTAGATAGTGCACAGGAATAAAATAAGTTTCCTTGATATTCATTGATCCTGAGCCTCCATCAAACTCAGCTCAGTATCTCTGAAAATCAGTCCACATCAACAAGTATTATGGCTGATTTTCTGAATTTGTTTCTTTATTGTTGGATAATTTCTTGTTTCTTTCTCCTGTCTGGTTATCTTTACACCTTACTGCACTGGTTTCACAACCTGCTTTGTCCCTTTAATGCAGATTCCTAATGTGATCATAGATTTGCTTTTGGGAGTTCTCTGAAAAGTAATTTCTTCTCCCCACAGTTTTTTTTAGACTGTACCCAATAGCCAATCCAAAGACATGTACCTGCACTTTCATGTTTCATTAGCAGAGTGCTCTTGTGTCACTTTAGACGAAATAGTATGTACCATGTTGATTATTAACTCCTTTTCTTAGAGGTACAAGATTTGTATTTTTACTTAAAAGCCAGGGAGAGATACCGTTCCCACTGAAGTGAAAACACCTCTTGACTTCAATGATCTCACGCTTTCACCTCAGATTCTCAGATTACTGGAATAATCATGATATGATCCTTAACTTCCCCCAAGTCATCCTGTATTGCAAATAACTAATGCTGTCCAAAGCTTTTTTTGCTGTCTTCTAGAAACCACAGTTAAAGCATATAAAAAGCATGACAAGGACAGCATTACATTTTTGGCATAAATATTTTTGTATTAAGGTACTTCCGTCCTGGGCATTGCTTTCACTACATGGTTAGGTCCTAGTTTACAGTATTGGAAAGGTGCTGTGGGGTTGTGCCTTTTGCTTCAGAGACAGTATTGTACTTGCCTGTAAATAACTGTTACCATTGGATGAGAACTGTAGCTTCTTCTGCAAGTTTGATGAAGTGACAGCTTATCCCTCCTAGGCCTCTCCCTGCTTGCAAAAGGGGATGTGAACATTCAGCTGGCCAGTGTCTTACTGGCTTCAGAACCATGTCGAGGTGATACTGGGTGTACTATGCCTAGAGACTTGCTACTGTAGATGGGAAGACAGGTTTGATGCAGGGGACTCTACAGGAGCTGGGGAGCAGCTGAGACTGTCAATGGTAAACTGCAGTTTGGGAATGGACACCACTCTAGGATACAGACACCTGCAGAACTGTTCTCTCTTACACAGTTTTGAGCCTGTGGAATTGTTTCTTGACAAAGTCCTTAAGGGCTTTTGATGGTCCCTCTCTAACATCAGCGGGTTCAATAAGGATGTTCTTCATCTTCCACCACAGGAAGTAGGTGCTATTGGCACCCACGCTGTTCCTGCTGACCCACTTCTTATCTTTGCCCTTCAGCTGGTCAGTCAGCTGAATGGTCTTTGTATCCCAAGACTTTAATACTACAGATCTTGAATCTCTGCATTGCAGCAAACTGAAATGTAAGGGACCCTTTACCCCCTAGCACCTAGGGGTGGGAAAACTGTTCCGGCTCTAGCAACTACAAGAGCACAGTGCTTACTTCTCTTGTGTCACTTCTCCTACATCCACCATATAGGAAGGACCTGCTTTTGCACCTGAAAATACAATCACAGACTGAGGACCGTCTTCAGAAATGAAAGGATTTACCTGGAACTTCCTTGAAGTGCTGAGTGATGAAACTGTCCCATTCAAGAAAGTGTCAGAAAGAGATGTATTTAAATGGAACACCACAACACCTCCCCATGGCCCCCATCCCCCTGGCTAAAATTCTGTGAGAAGGGAACATAAAAAAGGAGCAAAATATATACGGAAAGAAGTGCAGCATTCTGCAATCTTGACTTGGGTTGAAAAGACACAGGCAGACTGAAACCAAAACTACCTGAAAGGAGGTTGTAGTAAGGTAGATATTGGTCTCTTCCCAAGTAAGAAGCGACAGGACAAGAATAAATGGCCTCAAATTGCTCCAGAGGAGATTTAGATTGCATATTAGTAACAATTTATTGACCAAAAGGGTTAGCAAGCGTTGGCACAAGCTGTCCAGGGAAGTGGTTGAGTCGACAGCCCTGGAGGTATTTAAAAGACTTATAGATGTGGCAATGAGGGATGTATTTTGAGGGGGGACTTGGCAGTGCTGAGTTAGTGGATGGACTCAGTGATCTGAAGGACCTTTTCCAATGTAAGTGATTCCATGATTCTGTCTAGGTTGGATTGTCCTTCTCTATGTTAGTAACATGTTTGTGGCTAAACTGTAATTATCCTTTGGAGTTTACAAATAGGTTTCTTTTTATAAAACACATACCATATATTATTGTATTAATTGGAATTTTAAAAAATGAATCATGGAGACTTTAGCAACTGGCCTGGTCTAAATAACATTTCCATTTAAGAGAAGTAAACTTTACACACTTTTTCCTTTTCCAGCTGAGGATACAGGCTTTTTGCCCTAAATATTTTACCCAGTTATGCTTTCCCCTTCCGCAGCCCACCTTCCACTGACATAATTTATCATGCTGTATGCTCAGAAACTAACCTTCCGCTGACTTGCTTGGTTTTAATATTTAGAAGAGCAGGTACTGCCCAGCATCAATCAACCTTTTTTGTTTTGTTTAACATCTATAAAGGTCAGTTTGTTCTCTACAGAGCAGTTATTGTTTACAGACCTTTCTCTGCAGTTTCACTGGCTACCGACTGCTCTCAGTTGAGGTTTGCATGAAAAGTTTACTCTTCAGGGGGAGAGGCTTCAAACAAAAGCTAGCCAAGGGGAAATGCCAGCCTGATTATTTAATAATTTTGTTGTGATAGCATGTGCAGTCTGTCATTTGAGAGTCAAGATCATGTACAGCTTAGCATCGTGTTACTGTCAAGCCTCTGGTAGTGTGCTGGTTTTGCTGTGACCTGGCCTTGGGAAGTTGTTTGCTAATTGCACCCATTTGTTTCACATTCAGTGACACGTACATTATCTAAAGGGATCATTCATGCTGCCTTATTTTGGGTATTTACCTGAGGTGATAGAGATGGAAGTTCAGTTTCCTGGGGTTTCTTGCAGAGAAAGACTAAGACACCCAAATTGGTCATCTAAAATTAGCTTTTTTATTTTGGTCATGATATATGCTGCCAAACTTCCCCAGTTCACTGGAGAGCTGTTAATTTGAAGGCCTTTCAGACATCCTCCCTTCTTTTATGTAGCATTACTCGTAGAGAGAGATTAATAGTCACTGACTCAGCTGCATGATCTTCGTTGTTCAGTGTCTAACCATTGATGCTTCTTGAAGGCCTTGGGTTTTATCCATGTTTTGCTGCTGTTGCCAGTGAAACAGTGGAAGCTCTAATACATGCTGAGAGTTACACTTAGAAGTGGAGCTCACAAAACCAAATTAACTTATAAAAATGTAAAGATTACTGAACTGATTGGATTAATAGAAATCATCCAGACTGCCATGCAGGGATGAGAGCAGTCAAATCTGTCTACTCGGTCAGCCTGGAGGAGCTGCAGTGATATAAACAAGAGTCAGGGGAGCTCTAATGATCACTTAGTCATCAATACTTAGACTGCTAGTAAGAGTGGGGCAATTATGAGGCAGACTGATTTCAGGAAATCATTTTGCAGGAGAAATAATGTACATTTACAAATGCAGATTGCCTAGAGGGAAAGGTATCCTTTTGTGCTCTGCACTCCTCAAACTGTGTGGTTTATGCACACTTCTATTCATTTTTCAAGTAGATCCTACAATTAATTGACTACAACACATTACTTGTTGTCCTTAAAATCATTATAACATGGGCAGAAGAAAATCCCTATCTTTTCATACCACTCTGTTGTGACTTTTAGCACCATATGCCTTTAGCTAGTATGTAAACAAGATTTGATCCCTCCTGTTTTTGTGTTTCAGAAAAAAAATGGATTAAAAAATGCAGCATTATATATGAAGAATTATATTATCGCATTACGAGCATCCTTATTGAGGCACATTAGAATAAGTTTTGTCAGTGTAGTAGGCTCTTTCTTCCACCAATCTCTCTCTCCTTCCACACTCCCTCCCTGTGTTTCTAGCTTTTATGGAACTGGAAATCAAAGCTTGAGCTTCAAGCTATTCTGTTGCAGCTTACAATCGGTGTGATTTCTGACAAGGGTATGAATGCAGAGCCTTCTTGTTTAATTACAGAAAGCTCAGTCCTAAGACCCTGAACGATTGTAACAGCTGCTACATTGTGCTGACAAATACCTTCTCAGCCAAGAGAGAAAGCTGGTGTGTGCAAGCTTTGCCTTCACCTAATGGAGTAGGACAAAAGAAATAGGAATGAAGAGTTTTATATATGACATGGAGCTAGTTCTAAACTTGGACTAAAATTTGTAATACAAGATGGACAGACTAGGACTAAATCATGATCACATCTGAAGAGATATCAGAGAACACTGATTTAGAGCCAGATATATACTTTCAAACTGTAGATGTTACTTCATGCTGAATCAAATGAATAATTTGCTAGAGCTTCACCTGCCATCTATTGGTGGAAAACAGAAAGTAGAAAATTATTTACCTATTAAAAGCTTGAGATACAACATTTAATAGGTATAAATTACCAATACGATAATTTAAAAATGAAAAATAGATATTCTTCAGTGTAATACAAGATTTTTTTTATTTAGGTTGAGTTGGAAACAAATACTTCTATTTGTATACTAGTAATAGCATTACTAGTGAATGCAATCCTGCTAATTCAAAGCAATCTCACTGAGTCTGAAAGAGTATAGAATTTGATGCATTAGCATCTGCCATTTTGGAAATAAAGTGAAGGCAATCAGGTCAGTCATCTCAGGGGCAAATTGTGAGAAGTTTTTGTATCTTGAGGTGATAAAACATCCTTGCAAACTCTCAGTAGATACTTACAGTGAGCAAGGGATAGTGATAAGGGCAGAATGAGTAAAGAATCTTTTCATTCCACTCCTCTTTAACGTTTATTATATTAAC